TGGGCAGCTTTCGTTCCCCTGACTCAGCTGCCGTACACCGTGGATTCCCCCGAAACCTCCGGGACTGCGGGTCTCAGGCTAATGGGTGGAATCCGTGGAATGCTAGGGAAGGTGCTGAGTTTCGAAGAGCCCCATCCCCCTCTCCCTGCGACAGCTTGTCCCCTGACCTCATGGCTGCCTAAGGCACAGGAAAGCCCCCCAAATGCCAGTTGTGTGGGATGAGGTTGCTGCCACCGTGGCCTGTCTCACCGTCCTTCCCGGGACACCGGTGACATGGTGTGTTGGTGAAGCGCCGTGCCACTCGGCTCGTCCGCTAGTCCTGCTTGTGGAGAAGTGCTCTGGAGCGTTTGAATTGGTGACAGTAAAAGTGGCATTGCTCCGGGCTCTTTAAATCCAGCTGAGCCTGCCTCCGTCAGCTGTCTGTGCTTCATGGGAGGAGAAGCGTGTCTTTGGGAGTCATCTCGTTTGTGGTGTGTTGGCGAAGCGCCGTGCCACTCGGCTAGTCCGCTAGTCCTGCTTGTGGAGAAGTGCTCTGGAGCATTTGAATTGGTGACAGTAAAAGTGGCATTGCTCCGGGCTCTTTAACTCCAGCTGAGCCTGCCTCCGTCAGCTGTCTGTGCTTCATGGGAGGAGAAGCGTGTCTTTGGGAGTCATCTGGTTGGTGGTGGAGCCAGGGCCCGACCTCGTGCTCCTTGCCCCATTGTTGGAGGCATCTGCTCCAATACTGGGGGCTCGGAGCTTCCAAACAGCTCAGTTCATGCCCCTCATTTTCAGGCTAGAGCTGAAGCGTGGCCCCGTTTCCACCTTGACTATGATTCTGGACATTCGGGGAGCATGGTGACAGAGAGGCTCTTGTAGCCCCCAAACCCTCCCAGGCGCCCTGCTCTCACTCAGGGAAGATTGCCTTTCACAGGATGTTCCTGTGAAGAGGCCTTGGGTGTGCAGACACGACTGCCGTGGGCCGATGCAGTGCCTCTGCCCCACCAGCCGCCCAGGTGCTTCTGCTCAGGGCAGAGCTACTCCTTCATGGAGCCTGCACCGGCCGGACAGCGTTGGCCCCAGTGGGCGTGGGGAGGACTCCAGGGGGTCGTAGCGGGTTGGCCGGGTGGGTCACACCGCTGCCTTCTCTGCAGCCCTTTGGAAAGGCACGCAGGGGATGAGGGTGATCTCCGACTTCGCTTTCCTCTGCTTTCATTTTGCCACAAGACAGAATTGTATCACCCGTCTCCAGAACGAGTAAAGTGGCATTTCAGCTTCTTGTCTTTATAGACTCTCTGAACTTTAGGAAAGATCATTCTGGTCCCTTTTCATTAATAATGAAAACCAGGGGGCAATAAAATGTTCTTAACGTGAGCATGGCAGGAACGAGGCGCCGTGCGGGGGTGAGGGTGCGGCTGGCAGGGAGCCACAGGTGTGCGTGGTGCGCGAGGAGGTCAGAGCTCTGGAAGGGTGGGAGCAGCTGTAGGAAGGAGAGGTCCCGGTTCTCGGACCCTGAGCTGCGGCCTCTTTTCCACCTTGTTACCTCCGGTCCCGGGTGGGAGGGAGAGGAAGGAAGAAAGCGGGGGGTGGGGAGAGAACCATCGATGTGAGAGAGAAACATCAATCGGTTGTCTCCCGCAGGTGCCCTGAGCATGGGTCAAACTCATAATGTGGGCGTGTGCTCTGACCTGGAGTTGAACCTGCCACCTTGTGGCGCACAGAACAACACTCCAACCCACGAGCCCCATGGCCAAGGCCAGAGGCCGTTTTGAAGATGCTTTCTCTGGGGACTTCGGCTGCACAGACAGATGTCTGGGACTTTCCTGAGGAGTGGAAAGGCTGCTCAATATTTTCACTTTTTCCTTCTAAAAATGGACTTGCCCTAGATGTGGGATTTTGCAATGAGGCAGTCCGAGCAGAGGAGGTCAGGAATGACACCAAAGGGCAGCAGGCCTGGGACAGAAAGCCTCCGGCTCGATTTCACCAGCGGGTGTTACTTCTCTCCGTAGCTTCTTGTTGGATGGGATGTCACTATAGGTGAGAGCCGAGACGGCTAAGAGCCGTGAGCACCGAGTGTCGCCGCACAGCCTGGGAAGGGAGTGGAAGTCCTGGCTCTGTAATCCAGACCCCAGCACCATAGAAGGCTAGACTGGTGGATTCATATAAATATGAAAACACCTGCTGCCACAAACACCAGAAGCACAGTCAAAAGAAAAAAACAAAAAGGTGGTTGCAACTCCTGTCATAGGCAGGGCTCATTCCCGGCTGTATAAAACGTTTCTGTGAATTGATAGAGAAATGGAGTAGAGCCTGGCCGGTGTCGCTCAGTGGTTAAGTGCTGGCCTGTGAACCAGGAAGTCACGGTTCAATTCCGGTCAGGGCATATGCTTGGGTTGCGGGCGGTCGATCCCTGGTGGGGGATGTGCAGGAGGCAGCTGGTCAATGATTCTCTCATCGTTGATGTTTCTCTCTCTCTCTCCCTCTCGGAAATCAATAAAAAAATATAAATAAATAAATGAAAAGAAATGGAGTAGAAAAGCATGGAATGGTTAGACTACACTGACAGGGAAATGCCGATGAAAGGATATTCTGTCCTCGGTCCTAACAGGGTAATGCAGGTGAAAACGGAAGTATGGCTTTCCCGCTCCTCTACTGGCCGAAATCTCCAAGTGTGCTGAGCCCACTGTCAAGTAGCCATGAGGGAGCAGGCGCGTGGATGGGGCTGGGTGTCCCGCAGAGTTGCAGGTGCATGTACCTCTGCCGCAGCCTCCCGGATGTCCACGGCTACAGATGTGCTTGTACACACATGCGTGGTGAGGTGTGAACACGGTTGCCGGTGGCAGGCAGCATGGCGGGAAGTCGTGAAGGACTGGAATCTCCTAAGCGTCCATCGGAAGAGAACTGATTAGGTAGAGTATTGAGCAGCCGTAGAAAGGAAAGAGGATGAGAAATAGGGAAAGAGAGAAGGGAAAGAATACATGTCTGTGTTGCCTTACATGTGCATAAAAATTCTCCGGCCAGATGAACAGGACGCGATCAGCAGCGGCTGGTGGGGGAGCCTGTTGAGTAGACTGACTGCTGCCTCACGCTTAGACCATACGTGTGTGCTACCTGTTCGAAAACTAAAACCAAAGAGGGAGTCCAGCTGCGGGGAGGCCACCTGTCGATTACATTTTGTGCAGGAGACTCCGGGGCTGGGCCACGCTGGAATCCATAGGCCAGGCGGGCGGGCAGAGGGGGAAACACCGAGGAGGGTGTGGCGGTCAAAGAGAGACTCAGGGAGGAGGGAGCATCTCCCTCGCCCCTCCCCCTGGGGCATCTCTGCCACCTGGACCCCCCCACCCCCCAGACGGCTGCATGTCAGCAGCCCCTTCTCCCCATGTGCCCACATCCTTTCCCACTCCTCCCACCAGCCGCCCTCTGCTGCTCCCAGGCTTCCTGGTCCCTCTGTTCTTGGGCTCTCTCCGCCAGGATAGCCCTCCCCCCTTGGTCAGGCCCAGACGCTCCCCGTTCCCACTGGCCACCTTTTGTCCTTTGAGCATAGGCCAGCTACCTTTGCAGTTGCTCGTGCCCTGCCTGGACCCCGTTTTCCCCTGGAACCTGAAGGTTTCAGCATAGGCCTCCAGAACCTGCGAGGACCCCGACGCCTCCCTGCCATCCCCACTCTCCCATTTCCCTGTCTGGCCTCTGCATCTCTGGAGTGAGCTCATTCCATCATCTGTAGGTGCTTCCTCTTCGCCGGATCAGTGGGAGAGCAGGGCGAGACTGGGCAGAGACCTCATCACCACCGCCCCGGCCCGTGCCTCCGCACTGCAGGCACACAGTCTACCCCGTCCACCCCCCTCGCTTCTGAGGTGCTCTTAGCTCAGCCCTGTCTGTAGCAGGGCATGTGGATGTGCACTTAGGCACATCTCAGTGTGTTGATGGCAGCCTCGCGGGACCCTTCCTGCCTTGCGAGTGGACGCCATGCCCTCGGTCTTCAGTTCGCCTCTGCACCTGACTCCCCGGCCGGGACGTAGCTCACTGTAGGCACCACGCAGCAGGTGCACCCTGAGGCAGGTGGTTCTGAGGCCTGGAAAGAGGAGGGAGCCGCAGCCGGCCCGTGTCCCTGACATCACACTGTCTCCCGCAGCGGAGTTGCCAGTCCTTTGAGATGAGGACACTGAGCACTTAGCTCTCCCCGGCCCCGGGGAAGGACGCATGTGCCCCTTCTCCTGACACGCCTTCTCTCCCAACTGTAGGCCCTGTGGGTTCCCGATGGAGAGATTACAGTGCCTTGGCTGTCATCATGGCGGGCATCGCCTTCGGCTTTCACCAGCTCTACAAGGTAGGTCCTCCCTTCCAGGGCCCCTTGGCGTTCAGCCCCGTTCTCCCCTCTCCCGAGCTTCTCCTGCCTGGCGGCACTCAGCCTGCAGTGCTGTGGCAGGAGCAGGGCTGTGTGCAGAGGCAGCATGTCCCAGCGAACACACTCTCTGGAGGTTCAAGTGCAGGTCCTGCTCCACCCGGACGGGTATGCTTGGCAGGTTCAGACCCACTTCATCCACTAGCCTTGGCATCTCTCCCAGGGGACTGTGCTTACAACAGTGCCCGGCGTGTGCGGAGCAGCCCTCCATTTGAGAGGCAGTGACAGGTGGTTGAGAGCTGGACAGTGAGCCCAGCTGCCTGTGCTGCATCCCGGCTCTGCCATGTGATAGCTGTGTGACCACAGGCTCAGGGGTCTCATCTGTAAAATGGGGACATAGAACCTACCTCACAGTTGTGAAGCTCAAAGGTGCTGCTTTGGGGAGTGCGGTGGCCTGGCACATAGGAAGTGCTTTATATGCCATTTTTTCTACCTTGGTATTTAAAACCAGCTTTGAGCATCTCAGCATATCATATTATAGGATCTACCCTTTGTCTCCTATATATTCTGTTGGTATCCATGTAAATCTAGGATTTCTGCAGACTCCATAGTCAGCCCTCAGGGTCCAGAGGTCATTGCTAACAGCAGAGCTGCAGGCGTGAGTGAGCATTCCCCGCCTTGATAGCAGGTACCAGGCACTAACTGATGGGAAGCACAGAGTCTCTTCTAGAAGATGCAGAGCCAGGGTGGGCCCCCAGAGACAGAGGGTAAACCATGGCGGAGGACTTGCTCCCTCCTGGTCCTGGAGAGAAGTTCCTTCCTTTCGAGGCCACCTGCTCCTCCCACCACATAACTTTTAGCATGTGAGCCATGCTTCAACATTGCACTCTGGGATTCTTAATTTTTGACTTAGTAGCTAATGACAGAGTTGTAGCAGAATACATTTTTTTTCGGTGTAGCATCTGTTCTTGGAGTTGGAAATTTCCAGTCAGAAATGCGGAAGCAAACTGTTTTGTGTCCTGGGATAGTCATGTGACACCCCCCCCCACCCCCCCCCCCC